TACTAGTAGGAAGACCTTGGTCATTAATCACACCTCCACAAAGAGGAACTGGATTGAATCTGTTATATCCTTAGACTTTATGGCTATTGATGTTTCTAGAAAACTCCCCTCCTTTTCACAAATTAAAACATGTACAATATTCCAAAAGAAAAACCTCTGTCCAGTGAAACTCATAACATCTAAACCTGAGCAAATATAGAGTGGCAGGGTGTGCACATAATACATAGTCAGATATAAACAAAAAAAAAAATAAAACTAAAAATCAGAAAATGGCAATAATCACAATAAAACATGAAGTATTAGAAGGATTTACAGTAGAGCAGGGGGTGGCTATTTTGAATGTCAAAAAATGAAAAATTAAATTGGGACAAAATTAAAGCAGTGAAATGAGAGAGATGAAACAAGATTTCTAGTTAAACTAGTAAGTGTACTTCGCCATTTAGTGATAAGGACAAAGACTAGAAAAATTGTTGTTTTTTGAGTCCATTTTTGATGGCACCAAGCATGAAAGAGACTCTCAATTAAGAAAGTTAAGAGGTAAGTCTCGAATCATAGAGATATTAAGGCAGCCATTGTGCATTCCAGTGTAAGCATTACATTTATGGTCAGAAAACATATTCTGAGAGAATACTGCGGAAATACAGAGTTAAACATACTTTTTTTTTTTTTTTTTTTTTTTTTTTTTTTTTTTTTACTTCTAGCCTGTTTATTTCACATCCAGTTTTCTTTTAAAATGTCTTATTCATGTACTGTTCTCTGCTTTTGTTTCCATTTGTTATTTTAAGTGTTCTCATTCAACCGTATCTTTTGAGAAATTCAAGGAAAAGCAGTTTGATTAAGGGCTAAAATAAACCCTAAAAAAGAATCAAATTACTTCAGAAAACATATTAGCTTACTTTGCAGTACTTTTTCTGCTTTATAGGTGCCAAGAGAGGATTAATCTGTAATGTCTTTGTTTGTGATTTTGCCTTTTATTTTAGTTTATATAATTAAAGAGTTCCCAGGACTGCTTTACATTTATCTTATTCATCAAAACATACTTCCCAAACATTATGAAAACAAAGTTCAAAAATAATGCAGTCCAAACCAAACCCATTCCATTTTCTCTTGGAACTCAACTGATAATAAAGTCATACCTTGTGTCGCATTTTTAACTGTGTAAACACTGCATTGCCCCTTAATGTATAATTCTTAGGGATGTTCACTTTATATTCTCATACTTCAATGTCTGAATAACTCCTGGTGGTACATATAGCAAGATACATATGATCAGGAATAATACAGTTATTTCACTACTAGTGGGAGGATTTCATCCTCTCTGTATTGAACTCAGAGGTCTCATTGGGTCACTCTGTGTGTGTGCTTGCATTATGACAGAAAAGAAGGAGTCAGAGGGTTGGGAACCTGTATTTTAAACATTAACCTTGATGAAAAATATAGAAAAAAGTTTGACTGCAAAAATCAAAAATAGTGTGTCTGTTTTTGTTGAGGCTGTGGAAATAAAAAAATGGACTTGTCAATCTCAGCTCCTATTCATAAAATATTCTCTCTTCTCTTGAATCTTCTTTTCAAGTAAATCTGAGTCTCAGCTGAGCACATCATTGTCCTGACTAGTAAGAAAGACCAGAGAGTGCTTTTAAGAAAGTAGTTTCCATAGGGACTGAATATATTTCATCAAAAGAAGATTATACCTTCTAATGTTGAAATTCTGGTCTGTTGTGCTTGGGCATGTTGTGCATCTTACTGTTTGCTCCATGCTAGTGGACTTTCTCAGACTCACTGTAAACAGAGAACAGAACTTCCAAACTATTTTTTTTTTTTTGTGAATTCTCAGTAGGAAACTGAAATGTTTACTGAGGAAAGCTGGGAAAGTGACTTGAAATATAGATTTGGTGAAGAAAAATTCAATAGCAGAACAAATTCAATTTCTGAGCTGTTAAATGTACTTTTAGTAGGTATACTTTTGATAAGATTGTCAAGTAAGCTGCAGAATATGTCAGAAATACCCTTTCAAATGAGAATGGGATGTGCACAAAAAGGAAGATATAAAAGAGAGAGATGATTGATAGGTATCAGTGTCCTGTTCAGAGAATATTGCTAAACCTTTTGTTCAGACTGTCTGGTGACAAGATACTCTGCTAAAGAGTCCACATTAAATTTTCAGTTAGCTTAACTGTTAGTGACCTAAAAAGACTGGACTACAGTAAAAGAACTTGAAGCTTTAACTAAACACCGTTTCTGACATTAAATAGTCAGCAATTAGGCATTTAGTGAATGTCGCAAAAAGCATTTCGATCAAACACAGAGTATTTAATATGAGGAAAAAACAGTCTATCCTGACATGTTAGGAAATGGCCTTCATCTATACAATTGTGTAAATCAGTCTTTTTCTGGTGTTATCACTATTGGGAGCTGCAGTTCCCAGCTCATTGATAAGTTGAGGGTCACCATTTGGGAGTCCCATCTGTAAAAGGCACAGCACCATCACTTCACATCAGTAATGGTTTTTTTCTACCTGTTGTAGATGCAGCAAATGGTACTCATATTGGGAATGAGTATGGCTGCTCAGGAGAATGGGAATTGCAGCTTTGTTTTCCTTGATCCCACTCAAGTCCAGACTGTTGACTTTAGAAAGGTTAAAATAGCAGTGTAAGATAGTTCAATTTCAACAAGTGTTAGGAGAAGTTACTAGCAAGTGTTAGCTGAGCTCTCCTCAGCCTGCAGTCCAATGGGGTTTGGACTTGAAACACTGGACTGAATCCATGTGAGATAATCTTAGGGAAAGACCTGCAAAGGGACACTTTTAAATGCTCTTCAGAGATACTCATTCTGTGGTGCAGCAGTGAGAAGCCTAACAAAGGACAACGCCCACGTCTTCTTCATAGGGATGTTGTATCCTCTTATATTATGTTCCAGTAGGAACAGTAGCAGTACAGCTGTGCTTTTGACTGACTTCACAAACCTGATTCTATTGGTGTTATCCTTAAGCTCTAGCTTCTGAAACCCTAACACCATCTGAGAACTACCAGATTTTCTTTTAAAAGCAAGGCTATAATTCTTACTGGTTCCAAAGATAAATCAGACAGACAGCACAAGGACCCTTATTTTTGCTTAAAGAAGCAGAGGGTGGTAGTTAAACCCTACACTAATGTCAGAAGGTCTGCACTATGATTTTGAACATATCAGCAGTACTGAGCATTACAGAAAGAGCAAAGACCTGGCTCTGAGTCCGTGCTCTTTTGAGTGTATGATGCAGCCAGAAGTTTTGATGCTATTCTTCAGGATGTTTTCCTTCCTAGGGAATGATAAGAAAAATGTTAGAAAATGTACCAAAGTCATTAGGAATGTTTTAGCAACGATGCCAGTTCACCTGACTTTCCAAATTTCATCCAGTCCGGCAGTTTCTGTGTTCCCAAGATACAGGAGGAAAGACACAAAGTTTTTTTCTGCATCCTCTTTCTGTAATCAGCAAAAAGTCAGACAAACATTTCTAGCCTCCTCCAGGAAGCATCCCTGATAAGTATAACATTTAGGCACTTAATGAGCAGCATTAATGTGCACACTGAAGTTCAAGGGTATTTTTAAGTGCTGTGCTCTGAGTCTGAGTTGTAGAGTAGATGATTAAAGACAAATTACAAACATTTATGAATTTCTGGATTCATACATATAAACTATGTAATCTGCAGGCTTGGATTCACTTGGGGGAGGTTAATTAACTTCGATCTTCTATTGTTTTTGTTTGTCCAAAGCAATGTCACGTCTTGTCTCTTTGTCTTCAACCCAGCACATGAGACACTAGGAACTAGAGGCAAACTGCAGTGTGACATCAGAGCTGCAGAGGGGTGAAGTCCCATGCTCACACACCTGCAAATCATGACCAGGGGAACAAATGTCTGTGTCATGTCACATCAGGATTACCTCCAGCTGCAACTAAACTCATGTGCATATAGGTGTAGATAATTGACATTAAGGAAATAAAGAATGTGGAGTAGGCATTCACCAAGGGTGGACAGGCAGAAAGTTGAAGATTCAGGGGTATTAGTACAGACTGGGGGAAAAGATGAAAAATTGTAAGAAACACTTAAAAAAATGGATCTAAATTATATCAAGTAGATGTGTGTCATTTCTTTCTTTATGTCTTCACCTGCATTGCCAGTTTAGATAATAAATGGTTCAAGATGCCAAGCACATGTTTAGTTTGCTGATATTTTCGGTTCTGACTGTTTCAATGTGCTGAACTTTTGAGTTAATGGTGTGACTGCCTGAAAATCTCAGTTGCTATTCTCAAGGAACATTCATTTCTAGTCCTCAATCATGGAAATAGGTTTGAAAGCTTGAACAAGGAAGTGATAAGCATTAGAATATACAAAGAATCTGATGCGTATTTTAATAATGCAATCCTATTTCATTATGAGGGTTTGAGGCAATTGAAAAAAACCATATATAATTGTTTGAGATTGGCAGCACTGGTTTCTGTAGCTTAGCAGTTCTAAATAATTTTTTCATTACTTGGGGAAGATGCTTTGCAGAGAAAGTAACTGGTAAGAGAAGAAGTGCAGAAAGAAGACTGAAATTTGCCCAGCAGCCTGTCAATAGTTGACAAAATTGACATATCTTTTAATGGGTTACTATGGCTAAATTTTCTAAAACTATGGTTTTCATGGCTAAACTATAAAAGAAATAACATCACTTAAGTATCTCTATTATTATATGAACTTGATTATAATTCCATATGTATTTATTGATATGTGGGTGTTTGTGTGTGTATGTTGTTTAATATGGTATTTTGACTGCCTTTTTCTCATTTCTTACTTTGAGACTCATCTCATTTTCTTTAGGTTTGGTTGGTTTTGGTTGTCAGCTTTCTCCTTTTTCAGAATTGTAGCATTTGTTTCTTTTATTTCTTGATGTATGTGCTCAGTCATTTAAAGTGTGGTTTCAAGCTGTCCTTTATGTCACTAAAAGAAATTAGCTAAATAGCACTGTTTAATTAATTTCAGGACCGCCTCTTTTTCGTCATGGAATATGTAAATGGAGGAGACCTAATGTTTCAAATCCAACGCTCACGCAAATTTGATGAACCTCGATCCCGCTTTTATGCTGCAGAGGTCACATCAGCACTCATGTTTCTTCACCAACATGGCGTAATCTACAGGTACTTTTTTTGATCAAAAATAAAGTGTTCTTGGGGCTTTGGGATGGTTTGGGCTGAAATCCTCCATCTCTTAGCAACCAGTTTTAGATTAGTTGTTTGTTCAAATTTGCTTACACAGAACTTTTTTTGGCTGTTTATCATTGAGAATGTTAACATTTGAATAGTCTCTGCAGCAGTCGCCAGCTGTGTGTGCCAGTTTTGTGTTCTAGTCCAAATAAAGTGGGTTTGAAAAAGCTTGGCACAGTACGACCCAGAGGTGACCTTTCTGCAGATCGGCGCAATCTCTGTACTTTCCTCCCTGTGCCATAGATTTCCTCTTGGTTTCTAACCCCCTGCCACTTCCTGAGTTTGTTTGTCTTAGTTGTCTCCACTCCGATACAATCGGGATGGTCATTTGCAATGCTTTGCTTATGCCCCTTCTTCTTGACTGTTTGGGTGAAGGCTTAGTCACCAGCAGGAAGTGGCTCTTTGGAGACAATTCTGATTTGCTTTCAAGTGCCCTGCATCTATTTGAACCTCCTCCACTGGCCCCAGTCTCTAGTCTTCAACAACCATGCACACGCACACACAGAAAGTGCATCTTGTTGTGCTGGGATGAAGATTGCGTTTAGGGATAGGCTGTATTATTAAAACTAAGGATTCACTTTGAAAAATTTCACCCTGATGTTAATGTGTTTAATAAATCCTTTATCTTGTCATTTCACACTTCCTCTCTGTTTTTATTTGTTTTTAGCAGGCTGTTATTACTTGAGATAAATTTGGGCTCTCACAAGCAGCATGCTTAATAAGTTTTGTAATGTAAATCTGTCCTGTCTAGTAAAAACTCTGAATTCTTCAGATGTAACCGAGCTCCATTTTTTCCCTTGATATTCCTACCCTCTTTCAGGTTATCAGTTTTGATTTGAGGTAGTCATCTCAGAGACAGGCAGTCACAATATTGTGACCAAAACATCAAGATAAGGATATGGAATTTTTCACATCCCTGGATTCATATAAAGGCAGGTCTTGAGAGTGCTAGAAATTGAGAAGGAAATATTAAATTTTTAGTAACCAGGGTTGAATGGTGAGTTCCATTAGTAGCAATTGGCCTTGCCATATACCAAGGGATTCAAAGGTAAATTTCTCAAAGGCATCTCCTTTCCAGAGACAAAGCAAACAGGAGAACATCACAGCTTCTGAGGAAAGTAAATGTCTTTGAAAGTGGTCTTTTCATCAAAAATCTAGTTTTCTTTATAAAACTCTTTGCTAGCTGCAGCTCTTAATCTCCATTTATTAATGCTGGTATGATATTTGCATACTGGGTTGTACTTTTGGGCCTGACAATTCACAAGGGTTTGCTTTCAAGTGCTGAAGATCCAACAAATTTCTTACCTTTCTTGCCCGTATCGTATTTCCTATTCATTGTCTGCATTTATTTCCAAAGCTAGGTATTTGTACACTCACATAATAGAATATGACAACTTCAGAATTTATAAGTATCTGTCATAAGGGAAACAGACAAGCTTGGCACTTTGTAACGTGAAGGATTTTGAGGATTTGTCTCCATTAAATACTTGAGCTAATTTGCTCCTCCTGGAAACTGGAGGTAGATATCTTGTAATTAGCAGTCAGTTTAATGGTTTCTCTGAACCAGCAAGAAAGAATTGGTATAAAATTACATCTCCCTGCTTTATATGAATGTACATTTATTCACCCCCCCATCTTTCACTGCTCCCATCCCTTAACACACATCCTCCTTTCTCTCTACTCCTTCTCTCCTACCTCTTTTCCCTTGTCCTGCCTGTAGCTTCTGCTGAGTGTTGGCTCCTAGTTGGATGCACTGAATCGCTTCGTGTGCGTGTGTTCTTTGTTTAACTTCATCAGCAGAATGCTTCCATGACAGGAGAAATGTCAAATGTCATTTTGAGACAATGTTTCATAATTTAGACTTCACAGTGTACTCACAACTTTTGATTCAGACACTATGCTGACATGTCTGACATGCATGCTAGACTATGTAAATGTGCTTGTAAATGGTGTGTTATGCTGAGTGTATGATCAGAAGACACATGAGAACATGAGTTGTAGGATGAAAGCATAAACTATTGAAGGCAACAGGAAGAAATTAGGAGCAGATTCAGTTGTATTTTGTTTTGACACAGGCTTTTGGATCTTGACATAGCTATGTTCATAAGAATAATTCATTTTCTGAACTCTGAGGTACTAGGAGTTCAAATATTTGTAAAATGAACATCCCAGTTACACTGTACAATACAAGTAGAAGGAAGAAATTATTTTAAATTAATTAATCATAAGAAAATGTCAGAACTCATTCACAATGTGCCAGGCCTTGGGAGAATGCATTTGTGGATGTCAAGCATGCTTAGGAATAGTTGTCTTGCAGAGAACAGTTTCAGCCTAATTATTCCATACCTGACTCCATTATTTACTACGATGCTAAAAATGCATTGGGATCAAGTCACTCCTTTACATCTCCAAAGCTCTTATTAGCTGGCAAACAAGGAAAGAAAAGGGAAAGAAAAAATAGAAAATAAAACAACCTTTGCTCCTAAATAACTACCAGTCATAACTACCTGACATGCCTTCAGATATTTTAATAAAGAATACTTTTCTTCTGTGTAATTATACTTCTAGAAAAAACATTGTGGTGTGAAATTAATGGTTATTCTCCAAAGTGGGAAATGTTGCTTGTGTGGGCATTACTTCAAGGAAAGTGGGGAATATATAAATAAAGTAAGATGTTTGATGGAAATGTAGGTTTCAAAATAGTTGCTATACCTTCTGATCTTTTTTCAGTCTTGTATGTGGAAGTATTTGTTTGGAGCTAAACAAAGTTATATTTTTGGAAGTAAATAACTAGCTTTAGCGCATGCTTTGGCTTGTTGGTTAGGTTTTTAGAAAGTGCTATGATGATACTAAATGATCATCTTTTATAATAACTGGTTTATCCTCATTTCCCCTGGAGTTCAAAGAGAAAGCCAGCTCCCTGTTTAGCAATAGAAATTATTCTCTGAGTTCACATCTTTGCAGCTAGCCCAGCAGTTGTTCCCAGACTTGTCCAATTACCGGTATGCTCATTGGAATTACATATATCTTCCGTATGTTTATCCTCCTTATGCTTATTGAGTTGGAAATAAAGATGAACCTCACAACTTTTGTATATAAAGATATTCCATTACTGAATGCATGTTGTATGATAGGTAAACTTTAGGATAATTTTTAGGGTGGCATTTTTAAATGTCTGATGTTACTGTTGTGTCAAAAACACTTCAACAGCCTAATAAAAATATTTACATTATCCCTGCTACCTTCCCTCTCATCTGGCATTCAGCTATTCAGGCACATGTCAGACTGGGGCCTGATAATACAAGTAGAGTTAATCAGACACTAGAGAAGTTTCAATCCCATTTTCTGGCACTTGTCCTTGTTCGTGTTATGCAATTGCAATTGCACCACTTAGAAAAAATGTATCCAAGCTTCAGGAATTAAGGACTAGGAATCTCATTTTGATTTTTTTTTGTGAGCTGGACTGGAGTTTGAACTTGGTGATGAAAGGTTGTGGACTATGTTCAGTGTCACCTGTCCCTGGAGTCTGGTGTATTTTAAGTCAGTTTTCATAATATATTAATATATATTATGTCTATATAAAATATATTAGTATATATTCTCATGTAGGGAAAATGCAACAAACAGTGTGATAAGTAACTGTGAATTCTGTACTCCCCTCTTGCACTTAATTTCAGCATTCCTGTGCTCTTTCTGCAGATATATGTAAATGTGGCATGTTCTTGTTTCACTTGGAGATGTTGGGCTGAGGTCAGGAGTAGCTGGCTGGCTGCTCTCAGTGCAGGAGTTCAAGTGAGGTGACAAAAGTGACCTGCTGTGTCCTGAAATACCTACAAAGAACTGTTTTTCCCCCAGGCAGGAAGACCGGCACTAGAACAGGGTGCCTCTTCAGGAACATAAATGACACTGTCCCCCGTTCATACATGATTTAGGAAATAACTGTGAGCTGTATGCATTGTTTCAGTAGTTGTGTGTTTCTTGGTCTCTGTTATCCTCCAGAATCATTCAAGTACTCTCTCTGGAACACAAAAGAAAAAAAAAACAAAACTGAATGTATACAATTTCAGTTCACCTGAAAGGATGAAAAATACCTTAACCGGGAAATTAGTGTCACCTGCTTTGGATTGACTAAAGTAGCACAAATTTTTTGGTTTGGTTTTGGTCACGATGGAGTCCTTATTCATAACTATGGTTTATTATGTTCCTCAGCAATATGAAGTAATAACCCAGCCTGCAACTTGCTGGAGCTTTCTGAGGCTCTCTACACTCTGTAATTAATGTGTTGGTCATGATGAAGGATTTATTAACACGGAATTGAGGTAAATGTGGATGTAAATATGCTGATGCCAATCCTTGAGTACCTCCAGGCTTTTTCCATACACAACTACCCTAAGAACTTGTTTGAACACTAACTGAATTTTTCCCTGGATAATCAGTTTTCCCAGCATTCCTGCTTATCAGGGCAGCACACACCAGTTTTTCAGAAAGAAGAACTACCTAAAATTAAAAGCACTTTCATTAGTGTGTCTTTATGTGAAATAAGAATATTTATTTATAAAGTGTGACTTCATTGGTGGTTGTGTGATTCAGTGCAACCTTGGCAGAGTAATGAGGAGTTATATTTACACTGATGAAAATGTTGCATGGTCAGTGGTTAGCATGTTAAAAGTCATCATTCTCCCAATTTACCTTACTATGTTACTTCTGAGTGGCAGCAGCCAAATAAAATTCCCCTCCCCCCTATTTTTTTTTTTCTTTTTAGCAAAACTAGACATGGAGCATTTTGATTTAAGTATGTAAAGATTATGTTATTGCAACTCTGAATAGTTAAAGGTTAAATTGGTGCTTTAGCTGTGGCCCATGAAAGAAGGCAAGACCTTGTACCCTCACCTGGCATATTCACACCTAAGTGCAGGAGTATGCTGAACACACGG